CAATTGTACTCGTTAATCGAAACATTAGTTGTTGTTTTTTTTGGCGCATGCTAATGATGAAATTGGTGTTGGGATGCGATAAAATTGATTTGAAGAAATCTTTTTCTCAGTGCACGAGGAGCGAAATGCGAGGTGGTAGAAGAAGAAGGAAGAGAAAAAGAAGGAGAAGAAGAAACGGTTAATCGCCATCGAAGCTATTCAAGGTGCTGGAATAAATATCTCGCCATAACTCAGCGGTTGAAACAGCGTTGCGTAATCTCTCGCGCGGTTTTACGATTTCATTTATAGCTTTTTCCGACTTTCGTCGTGTAACCGGGCGTTATCGAGAGGCGTTATCGTATGAGCCGGGTTGTTACAGACGCCGATCGTGTTACATGAAACGGTCCCCGAAGGCGTCTGAGATATCTCTAATAACGGGAAAATATTCGCGTTTGAAAGACATTGCCGATGTTAGACGTGTCGAAACACCGGACGTGGAAGAGAGCGAAAGGCGATACCGTAAACTGAGAAATCCATTTAGTCGACTCAAACAAAATGCTTGTTTGGATATGAGCAAACAAATATTTTTGCTTGCGAGAGGCAAAATTTGATTCTCTGAAACGAACATGAAAAAGGTCTCAACTAATTTTTCGGTATAACACAGCAACAATAATTGGTTTCGTTTCGACGGGAAATCCATTGGCTGCGTTCAGCGGAGAAAAAAGCAGCTTAGCAACAGTTGTGAAATTCGTGAATTTGATTGGGATATGTTCTTAATCTTACTTGAATCTAAGAGCATATACCAATCTAATTCACAGATTCTATAACAGTTGCAAAGCTGTTTCCCTTTTTCTCACGTACATTTTCTTACGTTGGCGCATATCGGGATGTGCGCGAATTATCTTATCCTGTGTTTGCTCTTTCCGATGACTTTATCCTGACACTCTTTTAACGGAATAACGAGAAGGATCGACTCTCGTGAAAAATGATCGTGTAATTTCGCTAAAAGAGAAAAAAATGCAAGTAACTTTTATCCTGCATCTCCCTTCTACTACCATCGCCTGTCTCGAAGAGATCATTCATCGTCGTACGATGCTGCACTCGGCATCGCGCAATTTTCATCGAAGAACCGGTATTTTACTTTGACGCGCATCGCTCAAAAATATTTCCGAGATGCCGACAGTCACACGTAGAACCGCATGCACGTGCAATAGGTCCGATTATACGGGCAAAGAGGTCGGGGCATCATATGCGCGTGTAGACGTCGTCGTGCAACGTCGGATGCGCGTTCGCTCACACTCTCTTCCCTCACTTTTCGATCGTTTTATATGCGCGACGAGCAACAGGTCGTCAATGCTATTTCCAAATACTTGCGTTGCAACGCAACGTAAATTAGCGCAATATCGCAATATTAGCGCGATGCCGTGACTTTCGGTCGACGGTTTCTACGCAACGAGAAATTATCTCGGAAATTTATACAAATCATAATGGATCCTAGCTGGACGCACTATCGGGACGAAATGCGTTTGGCATACACACACACACATACACACATACTGTATAAGTAATTAATATATTATACAAGCGGTTTTTAAAGCGCCCGGTGTATTAGACGACAAGAAGAAAATAAATGTTACGTCGTTGCTTCTTGAGCTGTTCGATTACGCAAGCTAACATGTTGCGCTATGCTTACGAGATAATATTTAAATTGCGGGTAGTCTAACAGCGTGTCAATCACGCAGAATTGAGAGTATAGACAAATTATCGGTTTCCTTTGTTACTTCCTAGCCGGCTCGTTTTTGTTTCTCCGGCTTCAATTTAATGACAAGTTTTATTGTCGACGGACGTGCGCAGTGACTTGTTCAAGTTATAAATGATTGAAAGTGTGCAAAATCCATATCGACGACGCGACGGATCTGACAGCAAATGCAGTGTCAAGTTCGGTCTCGATACAGCCGAAAGTACTTTTACTTGTCATGCTCGTCAAACCGAGATCCCGATGACATATTTAAATGCCGGAATGGCCGCCGTGTCTCAAGGCCAGCGGCAATCGCGACACAAAGACCACATTGCCGCTACCTTGCAAAAACTGTATAACCGGACTGGATATTAAGGAGCATCTTCGTCAGAGACTGACGTAATCGGCGGGAGATACGTCCGCTGTGAACTGTGTCTTTCGAACTTTATATCCATACTTCGCTCTACGAGCAATTCGAAAATAGAGACCGAGGAACGACCCGGGTCAGATAGACGCGCGGCAAAAGTCATACAAACTCGGGACCAATAATTGTCGTCGTTTCAGCCCGAGAAATGTCACATATTAACATATTATCTTGAAACTTGCATTAATGATAACGTTATACGCGGGGAATTAATGGAAATATTACACATATTCNATATATATATATATATATATATATATATGGGATAGTCCGTAATTTGCCCATTAAATTTTTCATGAACGGCCAATTGATTTCACCCGGCTTAAATATATATCGTGTATCAGGTATAATATATGTCAAAGTATAGTGAAATAAAAAGAATAATTTGTAAGAATAAAATTCAATAACTGTGATCTCGATGCACTTTATCTGTTCACGAATGTGCTCTCGATTATTATCGCAGCGTTTGGATTTTCGCACAATCGGTCGGGATTATCATTGATAAAACATTTTACATACGTGAGCATCGGTGCCACGCTCAAGGATACTTCAATTTACTCCTAATATCTACCGTAATATACTACATAGCGAGCCAACAACCTATGTGTTAATTGGTGTAATTCGATTTTGCCTCACGCTTTGCGCTTACCACTTTAGCGGGAACGATCCGCCTCGTAGAGATTTCCATCAAATTTGAAATTCCCTCGAATTGGGCAGGTGTCGCTTTCGTAATATCTCGATATGCGAAATGCAAATACCGTCGACTCGCGACGTCGAAATAATAATTGATAACGAACGGCCGTAAGAACGCGAGGAATCATAAACGGAAATTCACCACACGGCAATTGTAATAAAATCAAGTAACGATTGTAATTTCGAACGATTGTTATTTCAATTGTAATTATAATTTTTAATTTCATTATACGCCGTTGTGTGCGCAATATTATGCCTTATAAACACATTTTCTCTATATGTTACGTATTGACACTTTATTATTTTTAATGATATATAATATTAATTATACATGTGCAATTATACGTATATATATGTAAATTTTAACTTTTTATAAAAAAATATAGTTACGTATATGTTTCTTTAAATACAGATATATTTTTCTTAATATGTTTTTCGTAATATGTTCTTAATATATGGAAATATGTTTACCATGCACCTCAATTATAGCTTATCAATATGTAACGTGCAAGCCACTTTCAAAGAATATTTAAAAAACACTGGCCTCGTAAATGCATATATATATATATGAAACAAAATACACGCGCGACTGTTTACTATATTACACGTATAGACGCATATACTATATTACATAGTCAAGGATGTAGACTTATTTCCGTGCGTACTTGCGCGCGATGGTGTGAGTTGATTGTACGATAACTGCGGCAAGCTATACGACGTAATAAAGATATTACGGCGTTTCCCTTTGTGTCATGCGCGAATTCGGTCCACATTTTCGTACGACCATCGTGATAAATATTCTTTGAAGATCGGCGGATTATTAGTTTCGGCGGATTATTCGTCGTTATTTCTGTATTCATCATAATGAACTCTTCTCCTTTCGCACTTAAACAAACGGTTATCGCGAGTCGACATACGCGTCGACGATAAATGAAGGTAGGATGTTTTCCTTTTATAATAAAATAACTTTACACGGTGACTATTATCGTTGCGAGTCAGCGCTGCGAAGTCGTGGGAAATTCTCACATTTGACAAGCATTAATACATAAATAATATATCCGTACAGCCAAACGAAGTTATTTGAGATTCACGCGGCTTCGGAAAGCGAAGCGAGCACCGGCGATACGAAAAGCATGAAAGAGTTAGCTCTGTCGTTCACACGTTTCAGTACAGCCATACATGCCCGTGTATTTCAGGTGTTGATGCTTGCGAACGGCGTAAAGCTGGGTATACACCGAGCGAGCGAGCGAGAAACGAATAACGAATGCAACTTTCGTTGTTACGATTTGGAAAATTTTGCTAGCCATAACGAATCCGAAGAGAACGTTGCGAGTTGATTTGCTCGTAAGATGCTTTGATTTTGTTGAAAATTTAAAGAGCGATCGCCGTCTCGCTATTTGCGCTGGCTGTACTAAAACTGTGTGAACGAGCTAACTCTTTCCTCGCGCCTTTCATATCGCTCGGTCGGCTCACTTTCCGAAGTCGCATAAATCTCTCGCGGAGCTTTGTTTGGCTACACGGATATGTGGTAGGTATTTGTTAAGTGGCGGTGAGGGCTCGAATTATCTACGATTTCGCAGCGCTCGTACTAATTAGTAACAATTGCAACAGAAAACGGACCCACGGCGAGAGTTCCGTCTGTGGAACGACCGTCGTGGCGCATAGAAAAACGTAAGCGGTGAGATTTAAATGGTAAGGAAATTGACCAACCAATCGGTATGTTTCTTTAGGTTCGTGTATTCCAAAAGACGATAGAAGCGAGGATTAATTTGGCCTTGGGATTTCAGTCGGTTGAAATCCCTAATTACTTCTGTTTACGGTCAAATTTCTCGTCGCTTCTGTAGTCCTTCGGGACGCACAAACCTCGACAAAGAAATACGAAACATTCATATTGACGAATAAATAAATATTATTTAAAAAGAACAAAAAGTCTCATTATTTTTTGATCACCCCTCGTATACTGATCGGTTGGTGAATTCTTACCGCTTACCATTTTTCTCTACCGTGCCGTCCGCTTAAGTCCCGAACGAGAATACGACATTTTGTACGCGACACGCGACTTGTTCGTATAAACTCGTAAATTGTTGCCTCATTAATTTTAGATACGTAATCTCGCCGCCACGTAGATGCCGCTGCTGAATTCCGCTTGTCGCTTTTCTGTTACAGCAATCCACGAGCGTCGCGGAACATGGCGGAGAAGCAACGACGCGACAATCTAAACACAAATATTTCGACGATGGCGGCCCTGCTACCGATCGTCGCTGGAAGTTCGAGGAGGATGGACAAGATATCCATTCTGAGGTTAGCCGCCGCCTTCCTGAGGACACAGTACAGTAAGTCTCGTTAGAACGTTTCCTTCGTATTCTTCGATTTCATTACTGGATATTTTCCCGGTAATCCCGCAACTACATTAATTCACAGTTTATTACGATATATAATTTATAGTTATTATTGTTATATGTTATTTTATATTAAAGTTTATTATATGAACTATCGTATTTTATTATCTTTTACGCTTTCGTGGTATGGAGGAATGCTCAATTCGACTTCCGAGTTGGTCCCGCGTCCTTCGTGGATTTATTTCCGACGTTTCGTGAACGGTTTCAGCTCGTTCCTCCGGAGAAAGGAACGTTCTGAAACTGAATTTCCTCTCCCCGAAGAAGTAAACTGAAATGTTCACGAAACGTCGGGAACGAAATCCATGAAGGACGGCGAGGCTAACTCGAAAACTAAGCCATCGTCTTATTCTATTCTTATCTTTATTGAAGATCGAGTAAAATTGCTGATCACGGCATGTTCGTTCGTTAAATATCTCAACTGTGAAGAAACAATCACAAGCAAGTGAAAGCTGTGCAAAACGGAGTGGTCCGTCTTGCGAGACACGTTGCCGATAGCTCGGAGCTAATCATTTATTCATATTAACGGAGCTACTCTCCGATTTACGCGCGGGTGTGAGGAAAGCATTACTCACGGTCACGTACCTCGTGCGTTATTTACAGCACTCGGACGTGGCTCGACGAACTTCCTTCCCCGGCAATTCAACGAATTCGACCTGGAACGATATTTCGTCGACGTGAGTACACAACGCTCTCTCGTATCTAATATTCGGATCTCGTGACGATCGACACTCACTTCTAGATTCGTTTCTTTTCCTTCCGTTTTCTTTTTTTTTTTTTTTTCAAATCAAATAACAGCAACTGATTGGCAACGGGGGCTTCTTCCTGGTGGTCACCGCGACGGGGAAGATCGTCTACGTGAGCCGACAAGTGGAACAGCATCTCGGTCATGCTCAGGTGAGTCCACTCTCTTCTTCCCTTTATTATGGGTGTGATGCGCAATTTGGAAAAAAAATCACAGGAGAATCCGGAATAAATATTAATAAATAGTAAGTGTAGTAAATACTACATACTAGAGTAAATATTAATAGGGTGAATGCTAATAGTTATATTAGTTTTATAAAAACCACGAGAGAGAGAGAGAGAGAGAGAGAGAGAGAGAGAATACTTCTAACATCGCGATCGGTGTTCCGATACTTTTTATCTTGGATGTTTGAGCATTTTATTTTCGCGTTGCTAACTGGTTTAATTGTATCCGCCCCCGCAGGGCGAGGCGTGGCGATTGAAAATCAACTTATCAATTTATCAAACTCAATTTATCCCATGATACAGAGAAACGTTCCTCGTTACAATGAACACACCCCTGTCCGTCCGCGGGAGATAATCTGTATAATTGAGCGCGGTCCTAAACGCTGAAAACGCGAGACGCGTCGCGCACTAACGAAAAAAATTGCGAGAACGACTTTTCGATAATCTTCGCACGATTGCGAGACACCGTATCGATGCCGCTTTCCCTGTACGTTTGCGATAAGGTCAAGTTGACGCTTTGCACCGCTCGAGAGAAAGAGAGAGAGAGAGAGAGAGAGAGACTATAGGCGCTTTAAATATTCGCCGTGGAGGTTATTAACGGGGGACCTATTTATCCACCATCGACGTTTTGCGGAATTTCCGTCTCTTTTCTCTCCGGCGATTTTATTTTTCCTCTCTCTCTCCTGTTCTTTTCTTTCTTTTCTTCCTTTCGTCCGGTGTATCTATATTCCGACCATTGAAACATCGGCGATATACTTTCGCGCCGGCGCTGAGAAGAGGGTGGGAAGGCGGATAGAGGGATGGTTAGATAGCCGAGTGGGTGGGTAGAGGATGGGTGGGCGGCAGGGAGGACGGAGGGCAGCGATCGCGATCTCGCGGTGCTGCAGCTGCAGCACCGACCTACCCCTGTGCGCGCGGAGTTAGGAATTATCGATCAAATGAGTGCGTGCAACGCAAATACGCTCCCATGGCAACCGCGCGCGCTGTATGCCTTCTGCTCCTTTTCGCTCTGTGAAACGTACCTGCCAATACACACGGGCGCGCACACTCTCGTTTCGCGTATATTTGTACATACGCGAAGCCGGGGGAGGGGGGGAAGGATCAACCGTGCGGTCGCTCGCTAAAAGAACCGTGTAACTCGTTCCGAAAGAGAGAAAGAGAGAGAGAGAGAGAGGGGCTCAATCGCTAATGAGCCGCATATCGGACGATTCCGCTTGCGACGATAAGCGACTACCGAGTGACTTTCGCCCGGCGGTTCAATTCGCGACGATCTCCCGCGATCGGCCGGATGAATCGCCGCTCGACGATGAAAATATGTATGTTAATCCGCGGAGAAATATGGGTCGGAAGTATTAAGCAATTTATTTGGAGCAATTTCCGCAGAGCGTCGCTCGGAAAATATATTTCAGCGCGACCGAGAATACGCGGCGCGAATATCTCGGGGATGGTGAGAGGGGAGGGGGAGGGGGATAGAAACGGACACACACGTGCGTAGGAATTGCGCTCGGCTATTTGTCGCGCCGGTCGGACGATCGTGTTACATTCGCGAGGATCGTACTTCCAAATGATCATAATTCCGGACGAGCGGTTTAACGATATCGAAATACTGCGACGCGACGTAACTGCGAACACTAATTGTCAATACCCTATCGGTTTATTGCGCGGATTAACGCGCGGCGGTCAACGCGCTTTCGTTTGTGTAACGTCAGAAGCTGCACGAGCCGTTAAAACGGATCGTTATACGCGAATTATTCGCTCGCATTCCCTCGTACTGATTTCGCACGTATCGGCAAAAGTGCGATACTTGCTTTATCCACGAATATGAACTTATCAGACGAGACGAGGTGAACTTTGCGAGAGAGAGAGAGAGAGTAATCGCGTAAAAACCGGGCATGCGATTAAGCGGAGGGCTTCACGTACAAGAATGAAGTAACGAACGTTATGAAGGAATAACGTCCCTCACGCGCACACTCTCGTCTTACGATAAAATCAGCCCGGTCGACTACCCGGATATTGAGCGCGGATTGTGCGCGAATAATTGGCACGCTCAATGCGCGAGATATACAACGAGAGGACCCGGTCTGTGCTTCTTTGTGTAGCCGGTATATAATATCATCGTCATCCTTAGATATCACAGCCTTTCCGAACTGCCGGAAACGTCGTAATTATGCACGTGACATTTTAACGCGACGCAATAATCTCGTTCCAATCAATCTCACTGCGAAGAAACTAATTGAGGCGATCTAACCTTCCGTTCCGGGGAGCTGCCACGGAGAGCTGTGCAACATATCGAGGAAAAATTAATAAGCGGATGAAGAAAAAAGTGTGTGCCGGCTATCTCGATATCGGAATTACAAATGCGAACGCAAGAAAATGTGCGTTACGTCTAGCGATATGCGTCGTATTTGATTGAAGTCGCAGTTGAAGGCGAGAGAGTCCTGTGCCGCGCGGAGAGGTTTCAACTGCGATCGTTACGATGACGATAAAAACGCAATATCGCGCGCGCCGACAATGACGACGACGACGCATCAGAGCGAACGCACGAGCACACACGGCACGCGGGGAGTATATTTAAATCACGGGCGAATATTTTCGGCGCTAAATGAATAATGCATAAGTTACACCTGTTACTTACACCGGTCAGGAACGAGAGCCGGGATGCGGGCGCGTGAAATTAAGAGAGGCCGCGGAGTACGCCCCTGAAAATGAGTTCCCGCGAACCACGTGGTTAGCAGCACGTGTACGGGCGAGCGGCACGTGAACGCTCCCTTTTCTTGGGACACTGGGAAAAAGATTTCTGGAAATTTCATCAGTCGCGTCCGAACAAATTTCATCATTGGCGTGCTCCAGAGAAACTAATGTTTCCGTTTAATAAGTACGATCGCCAGACTTTTCAACGAATATGTATCTTTATCTTAAATAAATTTTCGTTTGAAACGAAATTTAGATAGTTTTCTTATAAATTATTTGTCTCGCATTTTATATATTTATTGTCACCGAATAATATTTTATTCGATTAAAAGATATTATTTCGCTTAATAGCGGTCTTTCTGTCAAATAATGAGACGATACGAATTTTTATTCAAACAAATAATATTTCCTATAAGCATATATTATTCCCGCGAAACAGATTCTAGTCAAATAAATAGAAAATACTAAAACTAAAGAAACCTTTCTCTCTGTGTGTATATTGTGACGGAAGTAAAATACATAAATATAGGGTCTCGGTGCGTCTGCATGTACGAAGATTCCCGGCGAGGAATTCCGCGTACACCGCGCATTGTCGAGCGCAATTTTGCGCGCCGGCGTAGCCCCGCCATAGGAGGCGCCTCGTCGGGCGGATTATTCGTGCGCTTCAGTTAATCAAAAACCGACTTACCCATCTCGTTGAGCCTTCGTGTAACGACTTACTTTCAAGGACAGCTCACCTTCGAGGCCTTCCGCCGAACGTCGCTGCTGGAAACCGCGAAAAGTTCGGCCGCTCATTAGAAAGAGCGCCGTGGTCGAGGTCGAGTCGCGCGCCGTGCGATTCTCTCGTCTGTATGCGTAGCGTATCCATCGTTCTCCCCCGGGAGCACCCTCCGTGTTGCCGCGGGAAAACAAGAGAGAGAGAAAGAGGGCGACCGGGCGACGATGGTGGTGTAACAACGCCGAGGATAAAATGTAAAAAATGTCCGCGCTATCGATCGCGCCCGCGTTCGCCGGTGGCGCTCCAGATTCAGGCGTAACGATAATTCGCCACTCTGCCGTAACGAACCGGCTCTACTCTCTCTCTCTCTCTCTCTCTCTCTCGGGGCTGGGCGATTTCCTCTCTCTCTCCCTTCCTCTTTCTCTCTTTCGGTTTGTACGCGTAAGGGATGCCGGAGACGCAGGAAGATGAAGATACTAAGAGGGAAGGAGAAGAAGAAAGGGAGGACAGAGGAGGAGGAGGAGGAGGGACGAAGAAGAGGCGAAGGAGAAAGAGGGCAGACGGGGCGGGAGGTTGTTTGCGAGAGCGCGGGTCTGCTCTCGTTTTTTAAGAAGGCACTCACAATCAGGCGTGTATTGTTCTCAAGGAGAAGCCCCCCGCGGGGAAAACGAGCTCTGTCGCCGACGTGGTGCACTGTCGCGGTCGCGGTCGTCGTCGTCGGCGACGCCGATGTTGTCGTCAAGATCTACGTACGCGTATCCACGGCGCAACGCGATTCGCCGCGCGGAAGACGATACCATTGAAAGTGTAGATGGCCCTTAAGGAGCCCGAGAAGTTCCCGCACGAAACTTTCCGGTATCTCCATTCGGGGAACGAACGTGCGGCAAATTGTCGGAGCGCGGAGACGCGTCGATTAAATTTTAAGAGAAAAGTCGATGGTATTGCCTCGAGTCGCGATAGTAGCGAAGACGTCATTTCTGGTACTAACGTAACTCGGAAAGGTAACGAGATTTGCGACGCCGCTTTGCGAAATACGATATTTGTTTTTACCCCGGATGTGCGTAAGCGGACGCGCGGATCTTCGCGGCAACGCCTAGTAATTTCGGGGGAAATTAGGGGTATTAACGGCAAAATTGATTATTTTACTTGGAGAATAGATTAAATCGAGCGTTCCAACGTATTCCCGCAAAGTGACGATTATCAGACGTCACTCGGCCGCTCGGTGGCGAGAGAAGGGATGAAAACGCCGAATCCTCTCACCGCGCGTCGTCCCCCTTCCTTCCGCTTCCAAGATCCAAGTAACACTGGTCGTTCTCATTCGGAGGCATCCTATTAATTAGTTTCGAATTAAACCGGGTGATTAAAGGCGAAATTACATTGAAATGAATCGGTTAACCGGAACGAGGAAGCTCTCGAGGAATTAATTTCTCTCGTCGTACGAATCGAAATTGGACATCTCGTTGCGCAAACAATCGTAAGAACATCGATAAAAATATAAACACACACAAATATATACGAGTGCAATACACAACTCGCAAGAATCATCGCCGGTCCAACAAGGCCCGGCCTTCGATTGAACTTTTTTGAGATCAGGCCGAAATTCGTGCTGAACCCCTCGGCGTGTTGTTGCAGAACGAGTTGCTGGGTCAGTCCCTGTACAATTTCGTCCATCCCGAGGATCACAACGAGCTTACGCGAAACATCAGGCCCGACGACATGCAGCTGACGTCGGCGCCGTCGCCGACGCAGATCGTCACGCAGATGTCGGACACGGCGAGCGAGAGCAGTTCCAGTTCCTCGGAGGACTCGACCAGCCAAAGATCGGACAGGATCAAGCTCTTCCGTGAGCAGAGGCGGAACTTCAAGATCCGCATGTCGCAGCGCACCGTTTCGAGGCGCGAGAACACGCAATACGAGTGTCTCGATGTTTCGGGGATCCTCCGGCTCGCGGAGGCCTGCCGGAACGCGGAGACTAACGGGAACAGGGGGAGACATCGAGGTGAGTCAGAAAAAGTTTTGCCCCGAACATGCCTGCATTCCTTTCTCGTCATCTCGTCTCTCATTCTCGCGGCGGCAGACTTTTCCTCTCATTAATTTGATAAATTCAATTTAACATTTTAGACTGATTAAATCTCTAGCTGTTCTTTTTTCCTCCTCCCCCCTCTCTCTCTCTCTCTCTCTCGCTCGCTCGCTCATTCCACACGGCAAGGATTATTAACTTAAATTTCATCATATTTTTTTATTTCCACTTCCCGTTAATTAATAGGACTTTAACCTAATTATCTCGGCTAACGATACATGTATTATTAAACCGTCTTTTATATATGGGAAAACAGAGGACGAATGTTACTATAATTGGAAAGAATCATTAGGAAATGTTCCGAATGAATTATGAATCCCGTCGAGAGATGAACGTACTTCCCGAATGTAGATTGCAGCTGGCAAACCCGTGGTACATTTAATTCGGTCACGGGGGCCTCGGATAATTATACGAGTGGATTTTTCAGTTATTACACCTTATCTTAGCATCCTGCGTGTAGCACCTGCGTGTACAGTCGACGACAAAAGCGTGTCCTCATCGTGAGTTAGATTAATCGCTATTTATTATGCATTCTATGGCGAATGGTCCACAGGCGAGTTCCGGTTCGAAAGAACACTCCGTGCAGTTTCACCGGATCGATGGTCCCTGTTTTATCACGCGACGAGCCGCGGAAACCCGTTGCGCTGGTCTCGAAACGAGTATTGCAAATATTTACTCTACTCGTGTATTTAAATTTAGACCTTCGCCGTCGCCGGCGAAGAAACGTAGGCGCAGTCATCAGAGCCGCTTAACGTACAATCTTTAACTCGCCTCCGATTGTTAAATTAAACTGTACGCTCGAAAGCGCGTATACACACGCGACACACACGCCACGCATACACGCACGCACGGATTCGTCGGCTCGTTCGCGGACAGATCGGCATAGGAGGGCTCGTCGAGCGAACGCCGACGTTTCTATGACGGGTTCTAAATCACATCACGTCCCATTACACAAGATGCCCCTGATTCGTCGCGCTATCTTCCACCACGTATGAATTTTTTGTGTGTAGTACGACCTGATTTTTCCCTGGTAAAAATTTAATGAAAAACCAACATCTGTTGCTGACTAGCTGGCTGGCTGGCTGGCTGGCTGGTTCGTTCGTTCGTTCGCCTGCCTGCTTGTTCGCTCTTTGACATTAAATATCTTAATTATTTAATTTGAAATTGTATTTTTGTCGGAACAAAGGCTGTTCTCTCGCGCATAGTGGAATATGATTTTGTTACCTGCTGAAAGTTTCGTTTGTATGTAAATTGCAATTTTCCCACGAGCAATCGTTGTTTAGGAAATTGTTTGGAAATTCATATGTTACACGGGCATTGTAGAGAATCTCTAAACACCGTGCGGGTACTTTTTTACAATACAGAATGCATTTGAACTCCATCGACAAAGTCACAGGATAAAAAAAATATAGTTTATTCGTCAAATTGCGTATTTTACAAGTAAATAACTAAACACGCTGTTAAAAAATGGTTCAAAACGTCTGCCTCCCTCATCAATGTACAATTAATATTTATGGAGTAAGGACGTGTGTTTTTTTTCATTTCACTCGTGACAATACACCAGCGTCACATTGAATGATTTTTCGATTTTTTTTAAATATTTAGAAGTATCAAAATTGATAGGTATTATCTTCAAAAACAAGTAAAAAAAGATCGTATTAACCCGCTTATCACGATACATTTTTTTCATCGTCATCCGAAAGCTGTATCTCGAGGACCAAGCTTTTGCGGACGTACACGATAAAAAATTTGGTATTAAATTTAACACATCTCACATATCCCAAACGGTTCTACTCAAATTTTTGTGTTAATTTAACACAAGATGAGTATATTGAGAAGTAGCACGAATACTATATTGAAAATCAGCGGAAAATTAACGCGTTAATCGGCACTGAAGATTAAAATGTGTTATTTTAACACTTACACCTGTTGAATATCGACACTACGCGGAACGTTGAGATAAAACAAACACAATATGTGAAATTAGCACGCGTGTATGTTGAAAATGTAACGCGAGAACTTCGACAACGACCGATCTTGATGCAAGTACAAAATATTTTCCACCGTATATATTTACCAAGACCTTTCACTGATTTTTCAACCTAGGCTCCTGTAAATTCGTCAGTCGAGAGTTCAGACGATCAGAGTGTATGCACGCAGATCTGTGTGCACACATCCTCGACTCGTCGGACTCGCGTCCGGCCCTCGGCCGGTGTCCGATTGTTACTGATTTTTGCACGAATGATCCCGGCAGAAATGACGAGCACCAGCAACGACATCGTTTTCGCCAGCATAGCGAGCCTGCCGAAGAAACGTTCCATCACCGAATTATCGATAATCGACGCCAATAAAGACGAATATGTGACGCGGCATCTGATCGACGGGCGTATCATCTACTGCGATCACAGGGTGTCTGTCGTCGCCGGATACTTGTCGGAGGAGGTGTCGGGTTTGAGTGCGTTCGCCTTCATGCACAAAGATGACTATAAATGGACGATGATTGGCCTACAGCAAAGTAAGCCTCTGTTTCGAGGGTAATTAGCGTCGCGGATTCGCGTATACTCGAACCGATCTCCTTTTTCCGCTCGAGTCTTCGAATGCCGCGGCGATGAATTAGCATCGCGAGTCATTAATATATTCGAAACGTCGGAGCAATATCGGTGCGTATAAATAACTCGTTATCGTATTAAAATACGCCGGCGTCGCACGTATATTTCTGCATACTGTATGTCGCATTTCGCATGGTCAAATTATCGAAGTTATATTACGTTGCGCCTTATTTTTGACGGTTATATTACCGAAGTTATATTACACCGCCGCGCCGAGCATCGTTGTTTTAACGTATTCGCGCGCGCGCGCGAAGAGGATCGCCGATACGCTGATTTACATGCTGTTATCATATCCAATTGCAATTCAAATCCAGCGACGAAGTGCGCGTAGAGCCGCTCGTTTAAAGTGTAAACAGGAAGTTAAATATAGGTTTTCGCGTTTTGAAATGCGCGTGGCCGCTGATATGTGATCCTCTCGTGTGTATTTCCGCAGTGTACGTCCAGGCGGTGACTTGCGGCTCGTCTTGCTACAGATTACTCGCGAAAACCGGGGAATTCATTTACCTGCGGACGCACGGCTACCTGGAGTACGACAAGGACACGCAAACGTTCGAATCGTTCGTTTGCATCAACACGCTGATAACGTGAGTACCACGCTCGAGGATTAAAAACGAGCCGCGAAGTGAGCGGCAAATCGATTCCGATTAATCAATAGAGACGCAGTAGCGCCCAGGTATACACGCGTATTTCAATATATCAGACGTTAAATGGAGCACGAAGTGAAAAAGGGGAACAGAGAGTCATCGACTGTGCTCTCCCAAGTTTCTAACGAGTTCCTCGCAACACGCGCGCGCGCGCGCCCCATCCGAGTATTACATTTATGCTAAAATTACAAATATCTTCTGTGATTTTTGTCTTTACACGTCATCCTGTCGTTTTTTCTTTTTTTTTCTTTTTTTTTCTATTTATCTCTGTGTATTAATCCGTATCCCGGGTGGTAGATAAGACGTCTCTCTTTTCGCATCCAATGCAGAACGACATGTAGTAACGGAGGAATCTTTATGTGTAGAGAGGAGGAAGCAGTCGAACTCATAAAAGAGATGAAACAGAGGTTCTCCGCGGTCGTGGAAGCGGGAACCAGCAAATTCATGATTCAGGATACTGACAACTTGCCGCTGGTAAGTCCATCGATGCCCTCGTATCCGGTCCCGCGGAATCTGTCGTTTTAAGGGGAGGTAGAAGGGTTTAAACCCTTGCGAGGAGTCGGTAAAATTTAACTTGTTATTACAGGTATAAGAATTAGTCGGAAAATTTCCTTGTAGGCTATTTATACTTTATATTGACGATAAAAATATAATTGTGATGTTAAAAAATATTAATGTATGCAGCAGGTCGATCCGTCACACGATGCACCTTGTATTTTCGCAAGCGTAACTCAAGGCCAAAGATATCGAGATATTTTATCTTTTAAGTCAACGAATATTACATTTTTTGCAGATTTAACGAAAAATTCTATTCGAAAAATCCTTTGAAAAGATATTGAAATTTATTTAAAAAAACCGCGATAAAAGGCACTTTATTTCTGCGATGCTTCCTTTTTTCGCCGCTATTTTGTTAGTTTTTATCGAATATCTTTTTTCTTCGTTTCTAATTCAATCTAGAGAGGAAAGCTTTCAAAACATAACGCTGTTTGCTTCTATTAAAAAAATGTCAACTAGATCACTCGCAATCCCCGCAACTCCCCGGCTCTTCTTATATAGGCCACTTGTACTAAATATTAACGATAAAAATATATTTAAAAAGTTAAAAAATACGGTACGAAGTTGCGATCCATCACGCGGTATATATTATTGTTCCGCGGGCGCAATTCGGGAACAAAAATATCGAGATACTTTTTCTTTCAAGTCAGAGAGAATTACACGTTTTACAGATCTAATTAAAATCTCAACGCTCAAAAAGTATTCATTTAAATTCCACTGCGATGAAAAGTACTTCATTTCTATTCCCGCTCTCTGCCGCCACTTTGTTATTACCCTTGTCAGATATGTTTCCTCTCTTGGTCTTCAATCTACAAGGGAAAACTCGAAATGCTGTTTGTTTCTATTGAAAACGTCCGCTGGATCCCGCTCTCGCAATCCCTGCAGCGACTGCCCTCTTAACTCAGCGCGCGACTCGAGGCGAGACCAAGGCTAACGAGAACCCCCTGACTGTTCATTAGGACACGGCCTCCTGCAAGCCGGCGAAATGCAGCCTCGAGGAACCATCGCGGCTCGAGGACGCCATCACCCGGCTGGTGAGCGACCTGCCCTCGCCGGCCGTGTCGGAGGACCGTTTTTCGCCGGCGCCAATGCCGAACACGCAATTCGTCAAGGCCGCCATAATATCCTCCCGCTTGCCGCCCGCCTCCACGCAGGCCAACAAGATCGGTATCAACAAGATCGAGCACTACGTCGCTCTGCAGGGCAAGGGCAAGCAGAGCCCGAATATAAAGGAGGAGTCGAACGACGACGGTAGGCACTCCTGCGGCAAGTACATGAATTCCAGCGACGGGGAGCAGATGTCGGACTCGGAGAGCGCGAAGCCGCCGTCCGGCAAGTCGATTTACGAAAGGATCGACGGGGCCAACCACAGCAGCGTTTCGGCCGACGACGCGCAGCCGAACATTCTTGCCATTCACGAAACCGGCACGAAGCCCTTCTGCAACGCAACTCCCCGCAATCACTGCTTGAACGTGGCGCAGGGCGCGGGCGTCCTGAGCACGCAGAAGAGGATCGAGCCGTCGCAGCAGCAGACCGCGTGCAACGTCAAAGTCGAGCGCAGCGTCGATGTGTACGACTATCTGGAGAACAACAGGGAGCTGCAGTACTACGACGACGTCGCGAACGACAGCTCCGTCGTCTCGCCTACGACGAATGAGTCGCACAAACGGCTGAAGAGGATATGCAGCGAGGAGGACCTCGTCGCGATGCGCAACAAGAAGAGGCCCAACGACGCGTACGCGGCGCTGACGAACGGCAACGACGTCGTGCAGCAGGGTGTGCCCTACGTGAACTGCAGGACGACCTTCGTGACCGAGAACGACTATCCGGCGCTCACGGTCGAGTTCAATCGGTACAACGACGTAAGCTCCTCGCAGCCGTTGATGACGGCGGAGTCGCCTAACTCGAGCCTGCACGAGGTCGGGGTCGAGTATCAGCAGCTGGTGGGCAACCACCCCGCCGCCCCGTTAATTATAACGAACCCCGAGGACGAGCAGTTCGCCGATCTGCAGGATCTCAAGGACGACACGCTGCTGAGCCCGGAACTGGACGCGAATCCAGGTACCGCAACCAGTAAACCGGGTTCTCGTCCATCGGTGCAGTCGAGTACCCATTTTTTTTCCATCTGTTGAATGAAGTGGATGAAAAGAGAGTGAGAACATTCATCATTTATGTTCGTACATATTCCTTTCTGAATTTAACTTAATTTCTTTCCTTTCTCTCGGTTATGAGACTATTGCTGCTTTACCTACGAATCACTTACACGTAGCATCTTTTTAAAAAAGTAGTGTCCTTCCGATAAGTATCTCTCTCGATCACGAGTATCTCTTTTCCGTTCTCGGAAAAGAGGTGAGAACTGTGAGAACATTTATTATTTTTATCCGTACATATGCTTTTACTCAAACTCAATTTCTTCCTTTTCTCTCGGTTGTTAGACTATTACTGCTTTACTTACGAATCACGCTTAAAAAAAAAACGGTGTTTCTCTAATAATAAGTATTTGTCTTGTAATAAATATTTTTCTTAATAACTGACATTTCTTTTCCTTTCTTAGAAAAGAAGAGTGAGGACATTCATTAATTATGTCCTCGTGTATGCTCTTACCTAAATTTAGATTCTTTTTTCTCTCGATTAAATGTCCGACTATTGCTGCTTTACCTACGAATCACTTGCACGTAGCATCTTTTTAAAAAATTCTGACAGTAAGTGTACAATTCTTCCCAATCAAGATTTTGCTTAATGATAAATATTTTTCTTTCGTTCTTGCAGATATCATGATGAAGATATTCGACAATTATCGGCCTGTGGCGGATTTCGAAAGTGAGTTGACGCGTCTTGTACATCGTAAGAATAGTTATTTTCGAACTAATATTTACGAATAGTTTCGGCGAGAAGCGTCCGTTAAATTCTTCTACCCATAATTTTTGTAAACAATATTATTATTTTGACAATATATCTTTTATATTGTTTCAGAAGGTTTCAACGATAGAAAAGTGCACCAACTAACAACCGACGATGTAAGTGTACAACCCGATTAGATGTACAGTCTTTGCCCATATTATTAGACGCGTCTTAATTTTTTACAATTCATTGACTTCCGAAGACCGGCTTTATAATACGGCTCATCTATCGATCGAATTATGTTAAGGAACCATTGTTCTATAAAAAGTATTTCTTCATTTCACTCGGCTGTTACAATGACTTTGAACAAGTATGAACCCGTGCTAGTTGCATTGTCGATAATAACCGGAACAGACGTGTTTTGAACGCGTGTTATTGAAATGTATTTTTATTTTGTTAATTTGTGAATTGAAACTTCGTATTCCTTGCTTGCTAACAGAAAAATCAACTTTTGTGTGAAAACTATTAATATTGTTAACAAAAATTATGGGTAAAACGAGTGATTCGACACTTCCAGAAGGTTGCAGAGGTAAAAGCGCCGATTGACGCTGAAATTTAATCCAATCGAGTAAAAATAAAATTAGTAGCTTTCCTTCTCCTCCTAACGTATATTCTATTGAAAAAATCAAAGTACGTCTAATAATATGGCCAGGGGCTGTTGTAATTCGCAACCGATTCGCAACCCACTTGACAGACCGAAGTTTCGAGGCAGAAGTCTACATTATATAACGTGCTTGCAGCAAACGGTCAATGACGAGATAAGACGAACATATCGGCAATTAGCAAACAGCATGACGCTGCGCGAATCCCAACTCAGCGTGTTGGCGCGCGATTTGGAAAACCCGGCCCTCCGTGCCCAGAGAGAGAATTTGTCACAATTGCAGGTATCCATTTTTACGTATCCGCCAAAGATTCAGCATTATTCGGTATCGCCGAAATTACTAATTGCTTCTTCTTCTTTCAGGCCGAGCACAACATGCAGAAGCAAATGCTGAAGAACCTACAGCAGGAGCACCATAATATGCAGATGAACGTCAAGCATAACACGGGGATGTGAGAATTGGGGTAATCACAGGATCGCTTCACGAATCGGACTTGAAGCCACTCTCGAGGAGTACAAAGCGAGCTTAATAGGGTATTTCCCAGGAATCACGCTCTAATCGATGAAGAATGAGCTTTAAAGAAAAAATTATCCTGCTACTCCGAGGGACCGCATGTGGGACAACGAGAGTGTCCTATTCTCGAGGGACTGAAGCGGCAGTCAGCATAGGTGCAATTTTCGTGATATCCTCCGTCAGTTCGCGCTCCTGACGTGTCGTGTCCTGGGAGACTCCCTCGTTTTCGAATTGTCGATATCGGTTTAGAAAAGGAAAAGAAAAAAGCCTGGGACGAATATTCGGACGACCGTCGCCCATCGGTGGTGCAGCGAACGAACGGTAAATGTGCATCGATGGCGCGCAGTCGTGTGAAACTGCGTTCAGTTTCACGGCGAGAAGAAGCAGGAAGGACATTGCCTAAGTAAGACCGCTAATTAATTCACCTTATCGCCACCGGCATTTTCCGTCGATCAGAAGTGGAGAGGAAGAAGCAAGAATGACGCGAGACGTCGAAAAAGGTTTACTCTCGCGCAGAGTCAGCCGAGCGATATCGGCGTGTACAAGTGTTGTTTTTCTTTGCGTTTCTTATTTCTTCCTCTGTTTATCCCCCCCCCCCCTTCCTCTGTTTCTTTCTCTCGACTTCTCACACGAGCAAGGACTCTGCGGTCGCGCGAAAGCGACGAAGCGCGCTTTGCTCGCTAACGTTAATCGTGCGGATGCTGGGCGTTTGGTGAACGTTACTACGAATAACAGTCGCCGCTCGAGCCAATGTTGTTAAACCGGTGTCGTGGTTCTCGCGCATGCGCGACGCGCGGCTGTTGTACAACGCGACATGCGTTGAATGCAGGTACAAATGTTTCTCGGCAGACAAATAGGACAGGGGTTTATAGGGTAAGGGCGTACATAAATCACACACACATACACACACACACTTATCTTTTTATAATTATATACATTTGCATATATATATATATATGTGCAATATATATATATATAT